ACTATCAAAATAGCAAATAATTATCCTCCCAATTTTGTAAAAGTAGAATAATCCCCTCTCCCCCATTTCACCCCCAGTGTTTTCTTTGTATGGGGACCAGACATTACCTTTAAAGACCCATTTGTATTTAGTTAAACCGTTTACACAACATTTAAAGTGACATGGGAAAGTGTAGAGGGCTCGGCTGGGTGAGCACTGTACTCTTATCTGGCACGTCAGGAGCAATTCCATAATTGAGGGAAACAGCGGCTGATTTTGGTGAAATGTCGTGTCTGGAGGCATCTCGGTGGTTCTGTTATAATATACCTCAGTCTTATTAGTGCAGGGGTAAAGACACTGACCTCATCACCTCGCCTGCAGCCCGGTGCGTGTGTGTGCGTGCGTATGTAAATATTCAATTCAGTTATTTTTGTATAGCCCTAAATTAAAACGGTAGGTAACGTGGAGAACTTTAGAAAACCGTCAATTCGCCAACACAGATCAGAGACTCAATCAGTTCAAACACAACAAATGCAATGATAAGAAACACATAGAGGATGCACACAGGACCAATGTTCGTGAATGTTGATAAAGTCTATAGAAAAAAGAAATTGGACTAACGTGAAGTGTGTAAAAGGGGAGAGTTGTGCATCACTGTGTCACTCAGAAGGGACAAAAGCTGGTGTTTGTTGATTCCGTCCCGTGTTTTTTGACCACAGTGGGAAAGGTTGGTGTGTTGTGTGGACCCGTGTCTGTGTTTTGGCACAGGATAGACACAAACATGTCCAAACAAAAGGGTCAAAACTTGGGACTTCCCCTGGCACAGCGGTGCGCAGCCCAGGACCAGAGGGAGTTGCAATGTGATGGCCCAGGGCAATCTTATTATCCACTTGGAGCCATATGAAATGTTTTAGATATATCTGTTTAAAATTAGGAAATAGCAGCGTGTGGTAAGAGCTTAATTCACCCAAACACAGCGCCTCGGCTTATTACACTGTCATTATGCAAAGTATTTTTCATGGGACTTGGGCCCAAATATAAGCAACAAGCTATGAAACAATTGTATTTTATTGCTGTCTGAATTACTGCTATATTTGGTCGGCGAAAGTTTGCACTGAAGGTGCTTCGAACAAAAAGTCACCCTCTTGAGGCGGGTTAAATTAACCTTGCCTGCAAGCTGAATTCTCGCGGTATTTGTGAGTTCACAAACACTCGAGAATACATCTTGTACCGCTCCCGCTTACACTTTTCGAGTCGAACCACTGGGTGTGCGAGCCAATCACGCGCCAGTCTGGGGGTTTAGGGCGGGATATCCGGGTTTGACGAAAGCAAGAAGTGCCGGGCCGAAGCAAAACAAACATGGCTACGCAGGAGGACGGACGCGTAGCTGAGGCTATCAAGTCAGTTTTAGCAGAATCTCCAATTTCTTTTTTGAAAGATGAACAGCGAGAGGCGCTTTGTGCATTTCTGGACGGCAAAGATGTTACCGGGATTGGTTTAAGTCAAACCTTGGTAGGCGGGCACACAGCGTCACTTCGCCCAATCAGCTTGAAGTATTCTGCTGCTTATCCCTCCTTTCCCCGAAAGGATTCTCCTGCAGAAGTCCCAGATTGATATCGTGGAGAACGCGTTAGAGTTCTACACAATCATCAATCTGGCTCTTGCCAGGTTAGGGTTAAATACTTAGTCGTCAGTATAGCACAGTCTAGCAAGAGACCTGGGGTTTTAGGTGAAAAAACAGCAGAAACAGCCTGGTTATGGAGTATGGAGCATCTGCTCAGGGCAGACTTGGTTCTTCCGTTCTACTTCAGGGCTGTGTCAGAGTTGAAATATTTAGCATACCTAAAGTGCACCAGCTTGAGCGTGGCTTACTAAATCAAACGATACTTGTGCTTTGCTTTTGAGCAGTTAAACCAGCCTCTATCTGTCAGACTAAATAAATCAGATGCACTTCACACTGCTGACCCTCCACAGTTCATGTTTGGGGTAAGAATGGCTCAGGGCTAAACCGAAAGAGAGCCGGATAGCCCTCAGGCCCGCCGCCCAACTGGATATTCGTGTGTGATTGCTCCCATTTGCGACTTAATATTCAATTCAATATATTTACAGCAGTTGTCTTAGAAGACTGTACAAACCACATGTCAGAGAATCAAACCGTTGAAACACAGGAAATGCAATAGTAATAATAAACATGTCCATAAATGTCCAGGATTAACACTCTACTTAGATCATTTGCTTCCATAGACTTGTAAAAATGACTCAAACTGTCTCGATGGACAAAAACCTGAAGCCAAATTCTGGTATAGCAACTACCTAGCAACCAAAGAGCCAATCAGGAGCGGTACTGGTCTGTTTGCGCTCACGGCATAACTGTAATATCATCATCCACAAGGATCCATGTGGGACCAGCGATCGCGCAGTGTGTCCTCTTTACTTTGAAACTATATGTGTTGGATCATTTTTCTTTGCAAATGCAGCAACTTTACCAGGTGTCTGACTTCTCAAAATGTGGAAAGTGGGAGACTTTAACCTTTGAACTAAAAGAAAGTGTATTTCATTTGTCACTATGACGCTGACACACATACCCACACCCACACACACACATACAGTCACTACAGTTGAACAATGATCACCTGTGGGACCCGGCTTCACTGCGTCCTGTCGATGTGATTCATGAGTTTACGCAGCTCGGTGGATTCCCTGAAGGCGCCGCGGCCACCTTAGACCTCTGCAGTGGCAAACAGCAGTTGTGTTTTGCCGCATACGGGTCATATCTGTGCAGTCACCTCCATCACTCTTCACTTTCTCATCACAACTCTCGCCTCTTGTACAATTCTGACTCTCCAATATTGAACAACACTGGTACATATTACTGGTACTTTTAGGACCTGCTTGGGCCTGGTTTTAGGACCTGCTTGGGCATTAGCAACATCACTCAAAAAACATGGAAGGATTTTGGAGGAAATGGCCCAATAAACACATAACTTAGTTTTGTCTGGATGCAGTATTTTTTTTGAAGAAATGGAACTTCTGTTTTAGTGTTGTTTGTCTTCATGGCACATAACATCTAAGCTGCCCACAGCCCGATCAATATTGTGTTGGACTCAGAAGTGAGTTCTGAGGCCTTTCCTGACCCGAAAATTCTCCATATAGAGAGATTTATCTGGTGTGTACAAGACCCTATCTATTTTGGGAACTGTAAGGCCTCTGTAGCTCTGTAGACTCACCACCTGCAGGAGGATCAGTGATGGGCTGGTGCTAAGTGGACTGGGTGCAGCTCTGTCTGCCACCCACCCGACCCAGAAAAGGATTAAGGGGAAGAAAATGGATGGATGGATGGATGGATAGGCCTCTGTAGATTTCAACTTTGGAGCAGGGTTAGATTGTGACAAAAGTGACATACAAGTGTTACTACAAAGTCTATAGACGGACAAAAACTCGCACAAACTTCCTCCCTTGTTGTGTTGAATGTGTGTTTTTATTTGTTACTTCACACGCTTACACCTAAAAGCTTAAACAGGCAGAATTTTGAATGTTTGGATTAAATGGCTTGTTTCTAAGTCAAGATGTATCTGTTTTTTGTATATGTTTTTGTAGCTGCAATCTGAGGTAATAATCCTTAATAACTGATACAGATATACTGAATATTTATCTGTAGTAGTATACTGTCTACTAACTGAAAGAAGCATGTGTCCTTTGACTTCTCTTTCTCATTCAAGGAAACTGTTGCAACCACATTATTCAGCCACATGTTCGACACATGATTCATAGTAAACAACTGTTTAAGGGTATTGTTGCTGCTTCTATTTGCATCTAATTATCCCTATTTCCCAATTCCTCACGTACAATAGTTGTCATTCATGTAAAACCAGTTCTAGAAGCTGTGTCTTTGGCCAACAAAATGTAGATTTGTCTTCTGTTGGCAGTGAAACAACTGGACTGAGAGGGTGAGATCCCCCTGCTATAAGTTACTGTATCGTCTATAGACTCACTCTGATATTTAAATCAAATTCTTATAGAATCTGTAATCTTTTGGCAAGTATCAGAATAACTTCACCTTTGAGCTCCTAGTGTTTTAGCTCTTCAAATGGCAAACCGATATCATATGAGCCTTTATCCCCCTCTAGTGGCTGTAAAAATATCAAGACACAAATTACTCAGCCGCAAAATCACAAATCAGTACAATCCACTGAGCCACTTTTAGAGAATGTAAAATTACAACGTTTACATTCTACAATGTCATAAACCGTTTTATGTATTCTTACTTTGAAACAAGCAGAAGTCCTTCAGAAGTTGGGTCCCAAGTGAAAATTACACTTGTCATATTACAAGGTGCCAGATTAAATTTTTTACATATTTATCATAATATACTGTCCTCAAATGTAACTAAGAGATATTATTCTGTGTTAGTTTCAGTCTAAAACACAGATCACAATGATAGTGTTCGAATGCCATTTAAGTTGCCGTTTAAGTTGACTTAAGTAATATATACAGCTTATTTTGCAGATCAAGGTCACGCAAAGCACTTAGCAATGCTAAAAAATCTGACATTTTCTCCACACAGTGATGACAGAAGCGAGACACCGAAAACACTGGCACATCAAAGCCTCAACCAACACCATCCATTCACTCACTCATTACATGAATTCCTATTGTACATGTTTTTAGCGGCAGGGGAAGCCGGGGGAAATCTACAGACACGGGGAGAACATGTAAACTGCACGACCCTGTTCCGACCAGGATTGGAACCCAGGACCTTCTATCTGAGAAGCGAGAGTGATAACCACTCAGTGCCACCCGTATAAAAATGAGATAAAACCTAATGTAAACACACAGTTTTCACACAGGTTTATTATTATATACAGGACAGTTTTAAATAGTTACATCACATCCAACATAATTGCCATTTGGCAGAAAGGTGACTTCTGAAGTCAAAGGTTTTTCCCAGTCTTTGTGGATAAGTCTTTGATCCCTGCTCCATGATGAGCTAAAGTGCCTGCTCCGAACACTTCCAACGTCACTCATGAAGCTACTGCGCCCTTCTCCTTATACGTCGCCATCATCTTTTTAATTTCTGCAATGGCCTTTCCTGGATTCAGTCCCTGTGGAGCAGAGAAGATGAATCATAAGATACTCCTTTATTGTTGGATAAAGAGAGGATCGAAGTTTGTGTGGAGACGTGTGTGTGTGTGTGTGTGTGTACCTTTGGGCATGTTTTGGTGCAGTTCATGATGGTGTGGCAGCGGTACAGAGAGAAGGGGTCCTGCAGCTTGGACAGCCGCTCCTCTGTGAACTCATCACGGGAGTCGATCATCCACCGGTAAGCCTGAACAAAACGCAATCAAATCAACTATGGTTTTGATGATCGATCCAGAACAACTGAAATCTAATAATCTAATAATAATACCCTATAGCCTTTTCTGAGAGCTTTTTAACACCGGAACTCCCCGAATTCTGAAAATACTATTAAAACCAGTGGAATTTTGGAGGAAAAAAATCTATCAAATTAAGTGATTCATAAATATATATTTTTTGTACTTTAATATATGCTAAAACAGGGGAATACAACTGAAATACAGAAAAACGAAATGCTAACTGCTGTAGGTAAACCGTGTTGCTGCGGTAACAAGCACATCCAGTCAAGGACTAGTCAAGGATCGAGATACATTTGTAAACATAATTACATAGAAATAAACTACATATAGAAACAGAAAAAGTCAAAAAGTTATGAAGACCAAAAACGTGCATAAGTGAAGTAATTGCAATTCCAAAACTAAAAGCCGTCAAAATGACTGCTCTGGGAATTCTAATGTAAAAGAAAAAAATTATTATTAAAATGAGACTTTTAACTTTGCATGTTTCATATTTCATGTTTAAGAATATGAAACAATATCTTGGGTTATACATTTATGGCGAACCATGTATGAAAGCTTTCCACCTGTATTTCTCTATGCTACCACCAGAGGGAGTAGCAAAGAGAGTGATTTCCTCACATTTGAAAATTACCAGCACAGCCATGCAATCGTACAAAACTCGGCTAAGAAATTGCCAAAACTAAATTAGGAGGATTGATACTAATGGAAACTATGGTTACAAAAAATCGTGTTTTGATCTAGTCATGAATTGCTTGGTCCAAAATAACCGATGTGAAACGTGTCAGAACCAGTACCTGCATGAGAACAGCGGGGCCCAGGTACTTGTCCCCGTTCCACCAGTAGCTCGGACAACTGGTGCTGCAGCAGGCACACAGGATGCACTCGTACAGACCGTCCTTCATTCAGAGCAGAGAAAAGTATTGTTTTATTTGTCTGAAAGTTTAATGTCGTCTTCTTGAACCACACGTGTCACTGTCACTTTACTGAGTCACTTTGCATAACTGTAAATATACCACTGATTAAAGGACAACTCACCCTCAAATCCACTTTTTTTTGCTGATAAACGGTATAAATGAGTGTCCAATAGTGTTGTCTACATATCCTGGTCATAATTTTGTCACTTTGGTGCAAATTAGTTAAAAGTTAAACTTTCTGCCTAAAACCGTCTGTGAGGCGCCATCTGCTGGCGACCTGTATTACTACATTTGAATTTTGAATCTGGCGCCAACACTGGCACAGAAGTTGGACCTGACGTCTGCAAGTTGGACCTGACGTCAGCAGCCCCCCGCCCAGAGCAATGTAAACGGCCCAGTCTCGTTCACGACCCCTTCAGTCCTCCAGGCTACGCCCATTTAGAGGAAGATTTGAACAAGAAATGTGAGTGACGTAAGCTCCGAGGAGCGGGGGTGAGAACCACTTTAAACTAAGCCATTGCAACCACATAACTACAGTTAATTAAACTAGAATAATAAATACGGGGTGGGTGTTTAAAAGTCTTAACTTCTTCCCACTCCTTTTCGAACTGACTTTTTGTTAATAAAACAAAACACACTGTAAATGTATTGGTTTTTTTTGGTGTAACCTGTTGTTGTTTTTTGTTCTTGTCTGCCATGGCCCGAAATAAAGTATTCATTCATTCACTTTGTCCCAGACCCTCATACTGTATACACACAACTATATATAAAAAAATATACAGTATTTCACTTTTGCGAGATTGTGTCATTTTTTAAATTTGAATCTGTTTGTGTTTGTATGCAACTGTTTTGGTGTTCACTAACGAACAAATCTCTGATAAAATAAACTAAACTGCTCTAACTAGAACAGTGCACGTCCAGTAAAAGAATTCCACTGTACCAGTTTCTGTCTGTCCTCCACTGACTGGTAATACTGATTCTTCCCCTCTTCAGAGTCGTCTTTCTTCTTCAGGTAGGGTTCTATGGATTTGTATTGTGCGTAGAAGTTGCTCATGTCCTGTTGAGAAGATGGGAGAAGAAAACATGAATCATTGATGTATAAATAATAATAATATGCAGGATATGAGTGTGTGTCCTCACCGGAACCAGGTCCTTCACCACGTACATGTGAGGCAGGGGGTAAATCTTGGTGGGTTTGCTTGTGTTGGGGTCGATTTTGTTGAGACAGGCCAGAGTGTTTCCTCCATTGATGTTCATTGCACAAGAGCCACAGATTCCTGAAGACATAAAGATAAGATATTTATTTATTATGGGGATATTATAATTATAGTATTATATTAATATAGGTTGAACGGGACAGTGCACATTAATCAAATACTCCAGCTACTTTAATTCAAAGGAAATCAAAATGACTGGTAAAAAATCTATACTTCTAGTCAAACCACACTTTTACAATGGGTGAGGACATATAAGTGAGTAGAAGTACAAACTTATGCTGATCCTAAATGAGTGAGTTTGACGTCTTTTTAGCCCCCTGTGCTGTTACTACCACATTATCAGTTATTAGTATGATTATATTCAAACTCAATCCTTTTGTCTGTACAATTATGTTGTCCAGGACATGAAATACACATTGTGATTCATTGAAAATCGTGATCTATCAGCATTGACATTGCGATCTTTGATAATCAGGTCATCAGGAGACATTAGACATTACCTTCTCTGCAAGAGCGTCGGAAGGTGAGGGTTGGGTCCATCTCATTCTTAATTTTAATGAGGGCGTCTAAAACCATTGGTCCACAACTGCAATACAAAAATAGATAATTTGGTAAATAAATCAAATAGGGAATAATGCTTTAAATGTCTTCAAATAATCGTACGTGTCTAAGTTGATCTCGTATGTCTGCATGCGGGGCTTGTCTCCTGCAGTGTCCGGGTCCCAGCGATAAATCTGAAACTTCTTTATCCGTGGTTCAGAGGCTGGAGCTGCGGCCGTCTGAGCAAATCGCACCAGCTGCAACAAGACAAAAACAGGTGTTGTTTAGGAGATTATTTTGGGAAAGTGGAATCAAAGTTTTATACATTTTAAACACAGAAATTTCAACAATGATGTTAATACTGAAGTGATACAAAATGAAGATATTGATCAAATATTGCGTTATCAACATCTTGTGTGTTTTTTTGTATATGTTATCACCTACCCATAACCTTTGGGAAGTAAATAAATGTACAATGAGATTTGGATAAAGTCACATCAAATGCAAGTCAGCATCTGTTACCTGGGAGATCCATCCAATTATGCTTAGAAATATTTGTACATTTTGTCACCAATAATTCTACTGTTACTGCAGATTAAGATTGGTTCTAAATACTGGTTATCAGCCCCTAATTATTGATATTGGCCATGACAAAACACTGATTTTGATACTGATATGAACAACTCAAATTATTACATTGTACACTATGTACAAAGTGAGTATTGTAGTTTTTAAATGCATGATATATTTAAGCTGCATAGCGGTTAAAGCTAGCCTGGTCTAACAATACCAGAGTAGTCATTTCATTTCGTACTTTTAGGGAAATGATACTTGACCGGAGTTTACAGATGGCTAAAGCCAGGCTGGTTGAAGCCATGGATCTATGATACACTCGGTTGAAGCGTGTGTTCTAGCTCCATCTAGCGGCTCGACCTTGGCATTACATCAAGAACGTTACATCACTATGCATTGTGAACATTACCTAACTGACTTCTGCTGACTTTAAAGTTTAGAGATATAGCTTTATCTTACAGTAGCTGTGATCAGATGGAAATAACTCCTACGCATTAATTAAATATCCAGGTGGATTTATACGGTGAAAAATTACATTTTAGTTAAAACAAAGAAGCTGCGGCTTTGTGAGAAGGTGGTACATGAAGAGTCTAGACGCTTTAAACAGTGCAAATGAAAAGACTCACATAACAGAGTTTAATGTGAATATTTAAGTAGTCCCATTACTTTTACAAAACGTCCACAGGAGACCTTTACTGCAACTGTTGTTATTACTACTGAACAGGACCTAGGACTCACCGTAATTGCCCCAGAGTTCCGAAAAGCCAAAACATTCCTGCTCAGAGCGAAGCACGCCGCTGACATGATGAAGAGAGTTTGAAGAATAAAAATAGTTTATCTGTGGTTTGTCTCAGAGTCCACACAGCAATGATCTCAGTCTGTTCTGTTCTATAGAATGAACCACACCGCCCAATGACGTATAGGCTCCATTGCGTCACGACGTATTTGTGTTCCCACGGAAAGCGAATATAACTGACGACTTTGGCCCTTGTAGTTTGTTCAAAAACTCAGAAAAAAATTATTATTTTACAACTGACAAATATTAACATACAGTTTGTATACAAGTATTTAAATGTATCAAGTTAGGTTTGATATTTGCTTAGTGTTGTTGATAAGCACAAATTCCCAGTGTCTTTGAAAGCAGCGATCGTCAAAGGCAGTTTCACAACTCTCACTGCTGTCAGTTTTGTAAGCAAAGTCAAATCAACAATAAATGATCCCGTTAATACTAGAACTCCCAGAGCAGTCAATTTGACAGCTTTTAGTTTCAGATGCGTAATGACGCGAAATTGTTGGTCTTCCTAAATTTTGACTTTTCTCTATCGGAATTCAATGTGTTGAAATTATCTTTCTTTTTTTTTTAAGACGAGTAGTTCTTCCTTTTAATGTAAAATTAAAATGTAGCCATTTTGTTTGCTTGTCAAACTACGTTCTAAGACAGTATAAACCCCTTTTCTCAAGGAGCTAGACCTGGACTGGTCCTGAACTGGTTCTGGTTTTCTTGGTAATCCCAACAGAGCAAGTGATGGTTAACTTTGGAACACGCTGTTTACTTGCAGCAAAGACAGCTGCTGCATTGCAAGTTATATTTACCACTTTTATCACTACCTTTTGTGGGAAATGGCGTTTTACACATGCTCGTAAAGAACAGACGGATATAATACAAGAAGATGAACAGCGCAACACTCCTGTGTTGTAACCAGTTAAGAAAAAAAAACAAGTCAATAAGTTGGTTGCTATCCCACCAACCCATGGATCTATTATATAATCCAACCATGCACATGTCTTCCTTCAAGTCCCGCCCACAGCACCTTTTACACAAGAAGAAGGGAGAGAGGAGTAGAACACAATATCAATCTGTATTAACATGTGGCATATCAGTTTGTAAAAACATGTGAGTCTATGACCTACACCTGCAGCTGCATGTAGAACCACTCATCCCAGAGAGACTCCTTCTTTAGTTCTTTCTATCGGGGGAATCAATTAGACATAGAAAGTTAATTCCTTTAAACTGGCTTTGTGTGATAATGATTTCTCAAGGCCGTTTTCATCTATGTGTCCCACGGCAGCTATGAGGAATGAGATAAATGCGGTTATAATAATATATTGTAATGACCCGTGCTTGTACAGTAGAGGGCGGTCTTCACACAGATTTCAACCTCTCTAGTTTCTAGTCCTCTACTTGACAGTGTCACCAGGACCTCAGTTTATACTCTTATATTATTTATTTATAATATTTCTCTCACTTAATGCGTTTCATCAAAAGTCTAAATATTACTCCATGCTAAATGTATTATTGCTTGTCCATTATATAGACTTGACTCCATGTCTTGCCTCTGTAGGGACTTTTGTATCTGGACTAACTTTTGAGGTGGAGCACAAAACCTCCTTAGTAATCACCGTACAAATGTGCCTTCTGTATCAAAGACCCTTTAAGTTTGCGTTGCTGTTTAAGCCGGATAGGATACTGATTTGTTCAGTTGTTGTGACATCCCATCCAGATGCAAAACAGATTAGAACCTTAGACCTTCTGATGTTTTAAACTCGATTTGCAATGTGTCAAACAAGGTCAGCGTATGGTTTTGTCCAGTCTCACCTTCAGATGTGTCCTTCCCCGGCCGCTCAGTGGGGGTTGAGCTGCCGGTCAGGGTCACACTTAATGTCAGGGAGGGTCAAATGTCAACCAGGCCATACATCACGTCCACTGACTTTTAGTGTATTCAAATGGAGAGGTCACTGGGGATTGGAAGGACTTCTTTTATGTGGATGGAACATGCTGCATCAGCTCTGATTCAGCCATAGGTCAGACAGCAGAGGTTGGCAAATATGGCATATACCTCAAAACCTGAAAATTAGGCGTTGGATCACAAGATTAGTTCACTCTATCTCAATCTGTCTGAGCCTGTCAAAGCTGGGGAACCTATTTTTTTCTATAATATAATTTGTTATACCAAATAGAATGAGCCTTGTAAAAAAAAAAAAAAAAAAAAAAAAAAAAAGGTGTGACCTGTTGTCTTCATCATATTAGAAAACATTTCTAATTGTCGTATTTGTCAGAACGAGCCTTGTGAAACCTTTAATGGGCTCGGAGCTGAATGGCTGGGTGAGGGTGGTTCTCTCTTTATCCACTTTTCTGCCAGAATAAGTTGATGTAGAGATATGATAGGGGCCAAAAATGCATGCATGGGAACACTTTATAGAGCCGAACTGTTTTGAACGCAAGGAACTTGTTGTGTTTCATTTTTTGCCATTTGAAATCTAGAAACCCCAGTTTTAAGAGAGATCTGTTGCAGCAGTATACTGTTTTTTACTTTGTTGTTGACTTTATACCATAGTTTACCTCCATTTTGTTCACACCAATCAACAAACGTCGTGGTTGGAATTGCACAAGTACAGCCAACATAATGAATCTGTTTTGTCGAGAAATGTTATAAATTAAATTAGGAGTTACATTATAAAAGACAGAAAAAAGTAAACTTGCTTTCCATTCATTTATTATATAGCTTCAGCTTGGACCCGGAAGTGGCAAAGTCATTGCTTAAAATATTGCATTATTACTGTACAATAACTCTTGTTGTACAACATGAGGTTTGTAAGCATTCCCAAAATCACAAAGTTTGAAGCTGCGTTGCTGTCGCTGCTGTTGGAGCCATCTGTTGCCATGGTAACAGATGGAATGTACGTTCGGGGTTGCCATCTACAACACAGCTCCATTGCAGCTACAACAAATGCAATTTAAAAAAAGATGCCTTCCACACAGACGGCCGTACGACGCGACATGCTCTGATTGGATTACGCATACTTACCGGCTAAAATGATTGTTTTCTCCAATTAGGCAAAAATAGCTGGAGGCGCATGCCCGGTGGAGCGGCGCAGACCTGATCGGCGTGCAGATGTGCTGATAAAAGCTGCTGACAAACTGCCCTTGAATCGGAGAGGTGATGGTCAACTGACTTCAGGGCCGCCTAATCCTCCTTGTTGGAGCGGCGGCTGTGGCGTGGTGTGTCTCTCAGCTGTCTGAAGCCATTACAGGCAAATCCACTGAGATCACTGCACTGCTTCAAACAGGACATACAGATTCACCAGGAGTTATGGGGGAAAAAGTTGCAGCGCAAGAAGAAATGAAGAAAGTGTGGATTTATAGGTTTATGTTGTCAGTAGCAGCTCCATAGAGGTGGCCTAGATTACAAATAAAAATAATAATAATGCATCGGTTTCAAATTGTATTTTCAGGACACTCAAAGATGCTTCACATGTAATTATTCATACACGGTGGTGAAAAACTAATACTTTAGCCACAGCTGCCCTGGGGCACACTGGCATGAGCGAGGCAACCAGTATGTGCCCCTCTGACCAACGCCAACCATTCACCCACACACACCAGACTCATTCTATCTAGGCAATGTGGGTGAGGTATCTTACCCGAGGACACAACAACAGTTTGGCACTTTACAGCCGCAGCCGACCCACTGTGGCATCAGGTGTTCCCAGAGGTCTTCCATCACAGCACTAACCAGGCCCTGCCCTTCTTAGCTTCCAGGGCTTGGACACGCATCTAGTTTTTGCATTCAAGTCTATGTATGAAAACATACAAGAAATAATACGTCATTATTGTGGATCCAAATAGACAGCCGCATTTCAAAGCCTTGAAAGCTGAGTACAGTAGGTCAGGGCCTGGTTAGCACTGTGATGGGAGACACCAGGTACCACAATGGGACCACCACAGTTGTAAAGTGCCAAACTGTTGTTGTGTCCCTGGGCAAGTCGCTTCACCCACATTGCTGCATGAGTAAGTGGTTATGGGGCTGATGACACAGAAAGGAGGCCTCTCTTCTGTCAATCTGCTCTCGGGCAGCTGTGGCCACTGTAGTTTACGGGATGGAGTGATGATGATGAATAATAGTAATAATAATCAACCTGAAGAAGTGTGCAAGTTTTTTGGTGTGTATATACAGTACATACATAACAATTTCCAATAATTGTAATCAGATCTGTGCATAATCACAGTATTATATTTACATCACATGTTTAACCTCATTCTATTTTCTTTCACAAAAAGTTGTTTTGTGAGTGATTCATGCATTTTAAAGCAATTTATATCCACGTACGCCCGAAACATCCCCGCTCTCCCCTGATTCCTATGACGCATGTTGTTTACCCATTATATATTTCAAATCTGTGATACACTTATGATTGGCTGGGCTTATATTAAAATTATGGAACAGTGTGTGTGTGTATATGCGTGTGTGTCCATGTATAGGTGTGTGTATGCGTGTGTGCTTGTGTGTGTGGGTGTGTGCGTGCATGTGTGCGTTTAGGTGTGTGTATGTGCATGTATGTGGGTGTGTGTTGAAAAAAAATCTAGAAATAGTTTTTTGCAACAACAAAAAGCACTGGTAAAATCAATATTAAATCCAAGTCTTTACAAAACCAGTAAAAACAAGACAAAATGTAAATCAATATTTTGGATTATGAGACGGTACAGTTTGCTGATATTCTTCATAATAAATAAAGACTAATAAAGGTTTATCTTATTATTGTGTTCTTTCTATCTAAATCCATGTATTTTCCCTGGTTCACATGTACGCCCTGGTCCTTTGAAATGACCTACATTCTCTCCATGTCTGCACAAAGGCAGCTGTACTTCTGCAGGGCCATCATGTTGTGAATAATGCACGCACAGACCTGTTGCTTCATGGAGAGATGCAGTGCACTGGTGGCTGGCATATTTTCTCCTGTAATGCAAAAATCATGACTGCTGAATATGTGATTAGGGGAGCGTCAGTGTCTTGCACATAGCTCTGTGGAACAAACCTGCAGGAAAACAACTTTACCTGCAAAAAGACCCAAAACAGAACAGCAGAAAGATTTCATATCAGGCCACTCAGCAAATTAGTATAACAATAATAATAATAATGCATCGGTTTTATATAGTACTTTTCAGGACACTTAAAGTTGCTTCACATGTCATTCATCATTCACTCCATACACGGTGGTGATGAACTACTACTTTAGCCACAGCTGCCCTGGGGCACACTGACAGAAGCGAGGCAATCAGTATGTGCAATCGGCCCCTCCCACCACCACCAGCCACTCACACACACCAGACTTATTCCACTAATAATTGTAATCAGTACTGTGCATAAATACTCACAGTATTATCTAGACCCAAAATCGACTATACAAATGTTTAACCTCATTGCATTTGTTTTCCATGTGTACAAACAAAAAGTCGTTTTCGGAGCAATTCATGCATGTCTGAGTATAGTCCACAATGAGGCATTAAAATAAACTTTAGCTAATATAAATATGAATTTTGACACATAAAAACATTGTGCTAGTTTCATTGAATAGTAACATTAAAGTTGCCTTCTATACTTGGGTCCATCTAACTACTGTATTTTCTTTTTGGGTGGAATGTTTTTGTAATACATTATCTATATTTATCGAGTCAAGCAAGTTTCTTCACTGTAGGTTACAAGTCACATCTGCGGCGAGGCAATCCGACCCAATGCATGAATTCAAATTTTTAAGCAGTAAAAATATCCGTACGTTAAGGCACATTCCAACTAAAAAAACAATAATAATAACACATTTTATTTCTTGGACGTCTTTCTAGACACTCACAGTCGCCTTACTACTATTACTGTTTATCTATCTATCTTACATACATGACATCTCCATGGCAACCAGTAGGGGGACACCATATGAAAATGTTTACCTTCTGACACAAACCTGTAACTCTGCTCCTCCTCTCACGCCTCGATGAAATTAATACAGAAACAAAAAAATAGATAAGCAACTTCCATTACTTCGGAATTCAAAAAAGTAGTTGGTGGCGTTTTTACTTTTATTGTTGACAAATGACCAACCAAATGAATAAACTAGGTAAACTGTGATCTCTTTATTAAATGCATACACTGCTATTGATTAAAAAAA